CCCGAAGGGGCACACGACTTTATGAACGATATTAATAGCTACAAGTTGGTGAAAATAAAGATAATCAAGTATAGTAGAGGTGTGAAAAAAATGAAGCGAAAAAAACGACGTTTGGTGCCCGAAAAACTGAAAATAAGAAAAATCTGCTACGGAATTCAAACAGAAAGCATAGTCCGTAGCTAATCCGTAGGTATTCCGTAGCCATTCCGTAGCTAATTAGCTATGGAATAGCTACGGATTTGCATTTGTAGCTATTCCGTAGCTAATTAGCTACGGAATAGCTACGGACCCGCATCCGTAGCTATTCTGTAGCTATTCCGTAGCTATTCCGTTACTAAACTAGGGCATCCCATTCTGTAGCTGATCCGTAGCGATTCCGTAGCTAATTAGCTACGGAAATTTTCCGTAGGAAAACGCCATGTTTTCTAGTAGTGACGCCCTGACCATGTTTTATCAAATTTAGAAAATTTAACAACTCATTAATATTTGAAAATAATCATTGTTAAAAAATATAAATGGAACATGATGTCTTGATTTAGTATTCCCGGTCAATTATTAGGTATAAGTCTAATTAATGGCTACTATTTTTAATTGAGTCTATATTGCTCGTTTTCCTGCTGTAATCACCTGAATATTATTAAAGCTTTCCTGGGATCATATTGTCTTGTATTCATCATTTTGTAGAGGGGCAAAACATATTGTTGATCATCACGATTATGAGTTAGAAAGATGCCTAATTTCTATTATCTAGATTGTTTTTTGTTAAAAGGTTAATAATTTTGTTATATGTCAGAAAACATCTGTGAGTGAGAGGGATGTTCATTTATGTGCTGAAGTTACCATAATCAGGTTTGCTTATTTTTTATATTTCTTTACTTAAACAGATTTCTTACTCTTTATCTCTATAATTGCCAAACCATAGTTAATCTGGCACCTAAAACTAAATGACAAGTAATAGTTCTTTGTCTCTCCTCCCTATCTTTCCTCTAACTTCCAAATTCTACAGACATGTAAACTGAATGTATTTACGATGAGTGGTTTGAAAAGATTCAGTCAAGATTCAAAACTAGATGAAATTCTCAGGAAACACTTGATCCTGTGGTAAATTTGCACGTAAGAGTCAACATTTATAACCAAAGTTTAAAATGTTTTCACACGAACAATATGACCAATTTTTTATCCGACAAGACTTTTAAATAACTAAATTGGCCTTCTTTCTGTTCTTTCGTAATATTAATTTAGTTTCTTTGTGGCGTACTGCAGTTGAAGATGTATCAAGAGCCGTGGTTCAACTAAAAGGATGTTTTGAAGTGACTGAAGCAAGCTTATTGTTGTAGTTTTTTTAATGTAGTTCTTAATGGTTATTGTTGTAGTTCTTAATTTATGTATGTTAACAGGTACTTTATTATTAAAAAAGGCAGTTGGCTGTTAACGATTCCCTAAGATCACATATTTGGAGATTACATTAAACAAAAACATACATTCGTAAAATTACCAATTTTGCTTTTGAAAGAACATGTATATGTTGCTATATCAGACCACCACATGTTAATTTTTGATTGGTGATTTGTAAATAAGTATTGATAGAAAGTTGAAAAAAGTTATATATGTGGTTGGCAAGATAACCTACAATTTCCATGTAATTTCCTAATTACCATTTACAATTCTTTTAATTTTTCACATCATATATATTTGTGTTTGTTACACAAGATGTGTATAATGCTATAATAGAAACAAATGAAAGTAGGATGCTCTAAAAAACAAAGTAAAATCGATCCATTGTCTTTACATTGATAATAAACTATATACTATAATCCAAAAGAAACTTTGTGTTATAAAATTGATAAATTCAATGACACCTAAAGATGTTTGCAGCTTTATTGTAACAAAACATTTCTTTGATTATAATAGCGGCAAACTTTTCGTGGTTATAATAAAACTCTACTTTCTGTTGACACTTTATAAAAACCGGACATAAAGGTAAGAAATTAAAATATGATGTTATAATTTACAAATATTTGAAAGTCCGTTGTTATTTATATAGTTTACCCTAAATATAAACAACTTTATATTAATGATATAACAGTTATTGGAACAAATGAACGATATAACTACAAAAAATAAAAATAAAAGTAAACAACCTCATAGTTAATGGAACCAAATGAAAGTTGGATGTTATAAAAAGAAGTATAATTGGTCTATTGTTTTTATATCGGTCAACCCTGCCATCGGAAGGGTATAACATTAGTTAATACCGATAAGAGCATTATGAGTAAATTACAAGAATAGTCTTTGTCGTTATATGAAAAAAGACTTAAATATGTGTAAATTTACCATTTTAACTTATGTTTAATAATCTTTAGGTTTTCTCTAAGATTTATTCCATAATCTAGGCCACTGGCACATGTAGACACCACGATTACCCATCTTCCCCATCCCAATTATCTCACTGATGATACGATGGATCTGACCCATTCCTCTCATCGTATCTGTTCATTCCTCACTTTATTTGTGTGTGTGTGTGTGTGTAAAACATCAAAATTACCACCACATCTAACCACCAAACACCATACTACAACCTCCATCCCTAATGCAACGCCCTTTCCTCCTTTATGGCCAAACCTGCAACCCCTTACCCTATCGGTTTTGTTGTTATCTCTTCCGTCCCTCCTCAAAATTGTTAAAATAATAAGTCAAAATAGTGAAGTTCAAGTTTTGGAACATGCCTATTTCTTAGGGCCACTTTATCATTGAATAAGACATCAAAAATCTTGGTTTGCTTTAAGAGAATCAATATCATCTTCCATTGCTTTCCACCATGTTGGCCATTTCCGAGCTTATGGAATGTGGTAGGCTCAATATTAGGACAAAGTTGAGTTTGATAAAAAAAAATAATAATAAATAACTCATCATATCATTATTTGGTCGTCGAGTATTATCACGAGTTCGAATTGTCATCGGATGTGACCAGCACAAATTTTCCTGAGTTGAGCTAACAATTGGAACTTGAATTGGTGAGGTAACCAAACAAACTTGTGGTAAAGAGATATAACTTCTTGTTTTTGATGATGCTAACGTGTTTTCACAAAAAGTGACACGTTGAGGAGTGTATGTTTTATGGGTATAGGATCATAAAAAACATACCCGTTGCAATTGGGACCATACCCAATAAAAAACTACACGAGGTTGATTTTGGGGAAAGTTTATAAAACGATTATCTCCAAGAAATTGATAGCACATTGACAATTATCTAAAAGTACGAAGAAAAATATAATTTGGTTGAGTATGAAATAAAAGTCCACACTGCGAAGAATGACTAGGATTTTGAGGAAGAATTATATTTATAAGAAAAGTCGTTGTAGCATAAACATCAAACTAAAATGCTTTTGATAAATTGGCTTGAAAAAAGAGTTATAGCATCTTCTCATTCAAATGTACATATTTACGTTCAACAATTTCGTTTTGTTGTGGAGTATGAGGACACGCGACCTTGTATATGATATGATATTGGGACATAAATTGAGCCATTTGACATTTTTTAAGTTTGGGTGCTATATCAGAGTGAAAGAATTTCATTTTTGAAGAAACCCGGTTTTCAATAAGAGTTTCAAAATGTTGAAACAAAGCTAGAGCGTTTGATCGATGAATTAACAGATAAAGCCAAGTAAATTGACTATATTCATCTATAAAATAAATGATGTAACGAAATAAGGAATTAGAAACAGCCGATAACGGTCCCCAAAAATCCAAATAAATTATCTCCAAAGGTGTTTTACTATACTCATAATTTGGCATGAAAGGTAAATTACAACTTTCATGATTCCTTTTTATGTTCTTTAGTATAAAAGTTGTTATGCTAGTAATGCAACAACCCCAAGGTGAACCTAAATTAGGCGACAATGATCTACATCAAGCTCTTACGGACATTGGTTCTAACCCAAACAGTAAAAGCATTGAAATCTTGTGTCACTTTTGAAATTATGCAAACTTGAGAAACTAGAAAATGGTTAAAGTGTCATGGTAGCATTGTATGGTGATTTCATGGATCATGAAATGCCATAGTAAGAGACATCCATGATTTAACATTTAAAATGTTTTTTTTAACAAATTGAATATAGAAATCTATGTGCTAAATTTGATCAGAACCCTAATTTTGATGAAGCGTTGAAGGTGTTTGTTAAAGTGCCTTTGAGAAGTTAGATGCCCATATATTTTAAAATTTGGTTGTTCTTTGTGCATACATAATGTTTGTATTTACATGTGTGTGTGTGATGTAAGTGAGTGATTTCATCCTCCTCATTTACACTACGTTTTGGTCTTCATGCAAAGTTGTTCAATCTAAAAGACAGGTGTGAGAAAATTATGGATTATATAGAAGAAAGATGATCATAAAAAAAAGTAAAACAGATTGGTAAAAAAAAAAAAAAAAAAAGATGTCTAGATTGATGAAGAGCAAACTCTTATTAAAGAAACAATTGTGCATATCTACTAGGTAAAAGAGAAAAAGTATGACTATATAAGATTTAGTAGTCAATCGTACCAACACTCCAGAAACATGTTTTTTTGGATCATAAAATGTTTGCATCAACAAAACTGTGGAAATTATGTCATATTATTGATTTGTTATGTTTTTTTTTGGGATTAGACCAAATGATCATTGATTTGTTTTTATCACTTTGTTTGCAGCATTTAATAGCAATATGCTTGGATCATAAACAGATTGAAAGACAATTGGAGCATGACATTATCATTTTTAAATCATATATATTTGAAATTTTATGATCCTTAATCTATCTAGATCATGAGAGCAATTTCTGGTAGTCTTTTCAAATTTCACAAACAAAAAAAAAAAAAAACTGGAATTTTTGTGCAATACATGATGGTAGAGAAACCTAACATGACCTGTGTAGCATATCAATGTCAATGACATTTAATATCATAAAATTGAAGATAAGAGGTTGGTTCAAACAAGACATTTGATACCTACAATCAAAATGTATGTATAGTATATGAATGGGTTGCTTGTCAAAGTAAATGCCTATTGTGAATCATATAAACAACCAGTTTGTAAAGTAAGCAAAAGACATTGTGACTATGCAAAGAAGAAAATGATGACTATATACTGCTGCTTGAACCTTTGGAGTGTTAGTTTTTCTAGGGTGCCACTGCCTGATAAAAAGAGATTAAAAAAAAATTTAGCAAAATAAGTAAACTTCTCACAAGGCAGGGCAAGATAGATGGTCACCTGAACTTTCACTTTCACTTTCACCTCATTTTCACCGGTCTGACAGTTACACCAGATATGCTGCATCACAAATGAATTAAAAAAAACAAATAAATGTTGTGAAGTTATAATCTGTATGGATATATGATGTGAAACTAAAAAAAAAAAAAACTCGCCTGAGAAAATCAGCAAGGAGTTGACATTTCTGTTTGTCAATTACACTGAAGTGATGTTTTTCTTCTTTTTTCTTTAATTCGACGATCAGACCCACACAATGTGTGCTAGACCCACAAGAGTTACGCTCCACCTGTACATTTCCAATCTACAAAGAGAGAACAAAATCAATTTCCAAAAGTTTAGCAAACGGCACCCACCCCTTGAACCTAATTTTGAAAAAATCCTACCTCCTTATAACGGATGAATTTTACTTGTGAGGTTGGTGGCGATGGAAGGAAAAAAACGGAATCATCGAATACATACAGAAGTCCATCGGTAGCCTTGACAGAGGCTTCCCTAGCACGATCCTTCTTACGTGAGGAAGCCTTCCTCTCGGAAGGCATGAGACAGGCTTCCACAACATGAGAATTCTTAAACAAAAGAACCTCCGGATGCCTACTCACTATCACTTTTTTGTCACACATCCTTTGAAGCATTTCCCCAAACACCTTACTTATAGGGCCTGTATACACAGCCTTCTCAAGAATATGTTGCTGTAAAAAAACAAAAAAAGAAGAATCAGTTTATTTGGATCATGGCAATCAACTTTCACTTTCATTGTAAGGTAAATATTTTTACCTTCTCATACTTGTCTAGCATTCTTCTGACTTGTTCAGAAATCATCATAGGTTTTTGGACTAGAAAACGAGAGTCAAACTGCATTCACAAAAACCAAAACAAATTGTGGTATTAGAAGGGTACCTAAATAGTAAGTAACCATTTATGATCTTACTAAGTAAAACTTAATAAGTGTACTATGTATCCAATGAAACCTGTATAATGATCTTCTCAGGCAAATCTTTCTTGTTTACACCGACCCACGGATCAATAATCAGCCCTATCGAAGTATCATGTGGCCTGGGATACTGCAAAAAGCAAGACATAATAGTGATTTTTTCAGGGGTGTTTGGGAGTGCCTTTTATTCTCAAAAGTGCCTTAGGGAAAAATCTTTATTGACTTGTAGCTTTTTGGAAAAGTAGTTTTTAAAAAGTGTTAGGATTAGCTTTTTGGTGGGAAAAACTACAAAGTCAATAAGTTGGTTTTAAAAAGTGTTTGACTTAGCTTTTTAGGGTAAAATGACCAAAAGCCACGATTGTGTGACTTTTTAAAAATCCTTTTTTTTCGTAGCCAAAAAGTCATTTGAAAAAGCTTTTTGAACAACCGAAACACATTTTTAGCTTATTGGCTTTTTCAAAAACCAATAAGCTAATAAGTCAATTTGATAAGCTGTACGACCATTTATTATGTAAGTAGTATGTTTGACTAGAAAATGACATGAACCTTTTCAAAAATGTAGATTCCACTGGTTGCTGTATGGTATCTTCATATCCATCCTCCTTCACTTCTTTCTTTTGCAACTTCACACAAGTTACATGGAGTCCAATTCCAACCGTGTGTCCGGAGCTTACACTGAAAAAGATTTTCCATGTAAAAAATTTTAAAAATAAATTACTAACAGCAACCCTAGAGTATGTGATTTGTCTACCGTGGATGGAGGATCTTCAGCTCTTCAAACACAGCAATCGCTTGCTCGCCCATAAATCCAGCTCCAGATTTAATCAACTTTTGAGTGAGTGCCTGATAAAGTCAAAAAAATTAATTAAGGAAATTAATGAATAAATCTTTAAAAAAAATCGAATTATATTTTATACCTCTCCAGAACTAGAACTGGATGTTTGAAAAACCATCCCCACCAATGAATCCTTCTGGCAAACAAAAAAAGACTCTTTATGCATTAAAATGTAAATAAAATAAACAAAAAGCTAAAAAAGAAGATACCTCAGCTTCTCGAGGATTATCTGGGAATTTTAGTTCTACTTCTCGAGGATGCTTTGTTTGTTTTACATCGACCACATCATCAACACCAAAATCAAATGCAAGCTTTTCATCCACCTTAAACAAAACTCTTTTGTCTATACAAACATAACAAATATGAAATATATATATATATATATATATATATATATATATATATATATATATATAAGTTTTCCAAATGAAATCAAAGTCTTCATATTAAATCTATGTAGCTAACCGTGGACTTCAAGCTGTCCCCTGGTCTTTCCACTCACTGCTATCTCTTCCTGTCGTGGTTCGATACCAGTCACATCTTGCAACAAACGACTCATACGAGCTGCAGCCTGTGATGGAAAGCTAGCAAATGAGAATGATGGGCAAATAAAGAAACTTAAAAGTTAAGAGAAACATCATACGTACACTGTTAGAAAAACCATATATCCTATGTTTTGAACCATCGTGCAACAACAACCCCAGCTGCTGCTTGCCGTCATTAACCATCCTCCATGTTATGTCTTTGATCTCAAGCATTCTGACTCGAAGATGAATTGCAGAATCTAAGTCCTCAAGCACCATAAGCCTACCATCGACCCTAAGGGTCCCCAGAGTCTGCATGAGAAAGAACCGATTTCAAACTGTAGGACTACGTCTTTACTAACTTCTATATAAACTATACCACAACATAATTATACAAGGAAATAGAGAATACATGATGGGCAATTCATAAAACAAATGAGAATGATGGGCAAGCTGGACGTTATGAAAAAAAAAAACAGCCCATACTAGCTGTTGCTGATGAAGTTGCTGCTGCTGATGAAAGGTTGTTATAAACTTTCAGCAGATGTTGATGAAGGTTGAAGAACAATCTTGAAGAAGAAGTGATGAAGGTTGAACTTCCAGAAGTAGATGATGATGAAAGTCAAACTTCCAGAAGCTCCAGAATGAAGAATCAATCAGAAAATGATTGATATTTAAAGGATCCAAATCTCTAAAAAATAGAGATGAATGATGAACCGGTGAAACCCAAGATTATAAGCTTGGAGGATAATGAACCGGTAAAACCCATCAGGTTGAATTGATTGACCAAAATTATCTGATAACAGAAAAAAGAGATCCACATCTCTTAATGATAGAGATGAATGACAAATCAATCAAGATTGATTAATAAATTGTTGTAATAAAAATTGAAAGATGAACAAAGGTATCCATCTGGAGATGAGTTGATCATTTGTAGGATCGAAGGATCAAGACTGGATATGCAGTCAAGAAAAAAAAAAAAAAGTGAAGCTGATGACCATGGTTACTCTGAACTTGCTGATGAAGGTTGAACTCCAGTAAACACATTAATATTAGAGACAAGAGCATCAGAGGATCAAAGATAAACTACCACTGTTGTGATGGAGTAGAAGTTTGATATGATGCAGACATTTTGAGTGAAGATTGAGATGAAAATGGAGAAGAATTGATAGATTTTTGCGGAACAAAGGATCGAAAGAATGAGAGGAAGAATCGTTTTCAGACATAATCACGTACTGAAAAGTAAATATATAAACCCTAGATCGATCGATCGAGACTGTAAACGAACAACTTCAAACATAACCAGAAGATAATCATAATGCTACAGGAAGATAACAACTACTTAATGATAACTTACCTTGCCACAAGGATGTAACGTATATATGTTCTCGAACACCGTGTAAGTCGGATCAGCCATCTTCGAAATTCGAAATACAGAGGAGGAGACGATGATCAAAACCCTAGCTTCAAAATCGCAATGCGTTCCGTGAAATGAGGAGTTTTTTTTTTCAGAAATGGGGCTATTTCCTAAGAACTGGGTAAAATCCATTTCCTTTCATACGAAGTTACGTAAATGATCCATTTTGGAAAATTGTCTACTTCCTACCACATACGAATTTGGTAAGTTCTAAAACCAGTAATTGGCAATTTTAATTATGAAATTTTGAGTTAGCTTTATTTATTAGTTTTTGTTCTTAATTGCATTTGCTTAATCGTTTTAATTGTAGTGTCATGTATGACTGTATCATTGACAAAACAAATGATCTCCTCAATTTTGCTAAATTCAAAAAGGGTATAAGTTGAATAAAATTATTAGAAAGTTATATTGTAAAATTCTTTCTTCTTTCTGTTGCTATGCATGTTCAATTCATTTAAAGCTATAATGCGTAGTGTTTTTTCTTTTTTTGTTAGATTATGTTGAATTAACAAATTCATGTTCAAAAAGGCTTCAATTTTTATTTTATGTCATGTATGAATTATGATTGACGAAACATATAAATTTGGTTTTTTGAAATGGCCACAAATTGTTTGTTGAAATTCCTTTAACATTTTTTTGGGCATCCTTTAAGTTTGTCCATCATCCGACTACAATTTCCATAACTATTACTGAATGTTGCCACAAATCATTGTTTTAATTTTGTTTCTATTTTTTAGCGGTTGATTTAATTTTGTTATTTGACTATAATATATTTGGCTGATTTAATTTTGTTATGCAACAGACGGGTAAGATTTGCCCCTTTTATCTAGCATCCAATTCCTTTTGGGGTTACTTTTAATGTTTTTGTTCATATCTCTTGAAACCACCGAGTGTTCTTCATTTTTATGCTACCCTTTGTTCGGTTACCATGAGAACCTTCTGCACTCTCATGAACATTTAGAAAAGGTATGTTTAATTGCTTTTTTGTTTGCTTTAATGGTCATTGTTGTTTATAATTTGTAATTGTTGTGTTTCTCATCCAATTATTCTATGAATTTGAGATCCCAATATCCATTTCCAGATGGTCTAACACTTTGTGTGCATAGCATAGCAGGTTTGGATTGAACTTTTGTGTGAAATTTGTTTTAAGGTTTTGAATCTATGTTTTTTTGATATTTTTTACAGGAGAAAAATCAGATATTGGATCATTTTTTTGCCAGAAACACAAGATATAATTATGCCTATCTTCGATTTCAGATTTTTGTCAAGTGAGTGTCACGGGGTAATCGTTTATTAACATAGAAAATTTGTGTGATGGATTTCATTTTATAATCATATCATTTTGAAGTTATTAGTCATGGATTTGAACTTAGAAGTTAACCTAACCATTTTAATTGTGCTATTTGTAGGTTTGTAAGGATTATGTATGCCAAGTTTTTGCAGAAGATATATCTACAAATGTGGGGCAGTTGATGCCAAAGATGTTTGACCAGATGCTTCACTTGAGATATATGCCAATTTTTGAGATGTCTATGTTATACATGTTTGAACCATTTAAACCAAGAATCCCCAAACATGTGAAGCTGGTAATTGAATCTGGCTTGGTGCGTATTAGTCCCACACAAATTTGGTAGAATCCTAATAATATATATTTGAACCATTTAAACCATGAACGCCATTTGGACCCTTTTAAGTTTTCAACAAAGTATATCGTTAAGGATCTTAACCGTAGGCCTCGCCTATCTTTTTCTTTTTTTAACATAAATGATTAACTTTTTTTTTTTGGAATCAACAAATATATTATAAATACATGACCACCTAGCAAGATACTAGATGGCCAAAAGAAAGGAAAAACAAGTGTTTATACAAGGATGAAAAAAGGTAGATCAAAACCAAAAACACACCGCAAGACAAATTACATTCACATGCATGACCCCTAATATATCACTTGACACAACTAAAAGGATTAATGTTCCAGTCTATCAAATTGACAGAATAGTTGGAGCACCTGTGTTTTATCCAAATGTACACCATAGTTTGTATGTTTTACACCACTTTCATAGGTGATGTCAGATCTTTTCAAACACCCGTTCATTCCTTGCTTTCTAGATCCATACCATACCAAATGCTTATCAGAACTCTTCGTTCGTTTCTCCGGACAATGATTAACTAATTATGATTTTAAATAGACAAGGGGCCCTAATCATACACACCACACTATAATATTATAGTCTTCAATCCTAGTCTAAAACAATCATTATTAATCATTTCCATTAAAGACCAAGCTAAAGTAAGTTTCATTAATTGCATTTTTTTCGTAATAAGTAAACCTATTTAATAACTCCAATCAATATATATTAATATTACATAAATATTATACTTTTGATTATAATATCCCTTTATTATAACTTGTTATTTATTTTATATTATTCGAATATAATATAAAATAAAAAATAAAATTGTAACTCTCTTTTGTATACTATATTTATTATTTAACTATCGTTAGATAACACAAAAAAATAATACGTAGCATATTTGATCGAAACTTAAATAAACATATAAATACTATCTTTTGCTATGGACTAATAAAGGAATAAATATTAATGTGAATTTAAATACATGCACACATTTATAAAAGACACTTTGTTATTTTGAAATTTAAAAGTAATATATTATAAAGTACATACGAACAAAATTCATATATAAAGTGTTTAAGTTTTCATGAATTATATTATCTAGTCTTCTTCTTTAAAATCAAAAGATTAGTATTATGATAATGTTATATAAACAAAATATTATCTTGAAAGTGTATAAATACAAGTGAGTAAAAAAAAATAGAAGAAAAAAAAATAGTTGGAGAAAAATATTTTAAGAAAATGTTACAAGGGATGTTTGTGATAGAAAAGAAAATCATATTTGTTATTATTCATTTATAAAATATCATTTAAATAATAATTAATAGAAATTATCAATTGAAAGTGAGGGATCCGGGTTGGAGCTAACATGAACTTGGTTAAAAATTGGAAACCAATCATAGACTAGTTTCATTCGAAGCTCTCGTCATGGAAATAAAAAACATTGTCATTTGGAGGTAGATTGACGCTAATCAAGTCTGTCATGGGTAATCTTCCCACATACTACCTTTCGATATTCAAAGCACTAATGACTGTGATTGACACACTTGAAAAAATACGTCGGAAATTCCTTTGAGGAGGGGACGGAAGGAAAAGACAAGATTCACTAGGTATCGTGGGAAAAAGTAACGACATCAAAGGAAAGTGGTGGATTAGGTGTAAGTTCAATACATGCACTTAACGTGGGGCTTATCGTTAAATGGTGGTGGCGCTTGAAAAATGAACCAACATCACTTTGGAGTCAAGTTATAACAGGTATTCATTGTCTTTCCAATAAACCATATGATTATCTTTCAAAGAAAACTATTACTGATGTATGGAAAAATATTGTAGGGACTATGAAAGATTTTCATGGAGTTGGACTTACTCTCAAAGACATTTTCAGACAGGAGATGCGAAAAAACCATGTTCTTGTAGAACACTTGGGTGAATAACGAGAAACCAAAAATGAAATATCCTTCACTTTATGATTTAGAATTACGTAAATCATCCTCTGTTGCCTCTCGTATCTTGAATACTGGTAATTTCTAGGAATGGAAATCATGTCCATTAATTGCAAAATTATCCACAGAGTTAGACAGGTTAAAACAAGAGATTGTTTCATGTCAACTACAACCTGGTCACGATAATTGGACATGCTTGCTAACGCCTAATGGGAGAATATTCACGGTGGAAGCAATCAGAAGGAGGATGGACGTAACTGCACAACACTCTTCCAATCTTTAATTGATTAGTTGGTGCAAGATTATCCCAGTAAAGGTGTTATGCTTTGTCTGGAGGGTTGGACAAGGTCGCATTCCAGTTTCCTCGACCAAAGTGATAGTATTATCCGCCAAAACCATTGGGAGATCTTCATATTGTTGAAAATCTTATCATTCCAAGCCTTCCAGCCGCACCTAAGGAAACCGTATATGATAGCAAGGAGAATTTTACGTTTTTTAGGATACCGACCCCATTGGGTAGCAAAAGTCACCAACTCCGTGACCAAATTGAAATGAAGCGCGTGGATATTGCACCATCTAAAAATCCATTCCAAAGCGGGTTTCGAGGACGGACACTTCACTAGAACATGATCAGTATCATCATCACCATTGTTGTATAATTGACAAGATGTGCTTAGTGCTCGGCACATTAATCTTCTCTTAGCAAGAGCCACCAAAGATGGAATCATCACCATTGTTGCATAATTGACAAGACGTGCTCGGCACATTCAATCTTCTTTTAGCAAGAGCCACCAAAGTTGGAATGCGATCTAAACAAAATCGGCTACCTGAAAAGTATAATTATATAGATTGGTAAAAAAAATTATATTATATAAATTATAAAGAAGTTATATAAATTAGTAAAGAAGATAACATTATTACGAATATACGATTAATCCTTAAAGTTATTTTCCTATGATAAGGTAACTAAGTAATGAATTTATACTTGATAATCCATCTTTTCTTTTTTTTCTTTTTTTCTTTTTTTGTGAGGCAGACCGCCACGATTCAACATATGTGACTCCGTTTCAAACTGTTTGATTTTCAAAAATAACTTCGATTTTTTTTAGAAGAAAACAATGTTTAATACATATCGATGAAATCTTTGTTTTATCTTGATGGTGGTTTACATTTCTCTTTGCTTTGACAAATCTTTTTTTTTTTACAAGATACTAAATAATGACAGATTGACATCTAACAATACATCTACGAGTAACAATAGCATCTAACATTAAGGGCAATCCCAAGTCAAGGACTTAGGGCAACGTGTGTATGGACACCTTTGATTTTTGAAATTTTCCAATTAATTTTAGATGGACATATGTGGCAAGTTTTTAAAGACACGTATTATAACACACATAAAAATAAAAATAAATAAAATAAATAAATAGATAAAAATAGCAACATGTAGGTAACACAAAAAAGATCGACACATGTTATTTATTTTTCCTTAATTTGATATATTATTTTAGACGTCGACCCCGATATAAAAATATAATATAAACATTAAACATAT